CTTTTCCTATCAGTTATAAATTCTGATTTTCATAGGGTCATGGTATTTGATTGTTCAAAGGATTCCATTAGTTTTTTAGCTTCATGTATCTGATTTTTCTATTCAGATAGAGTATTTCACCTATTGCAATATGAAATGATCTAGCAGCAAATTCCTTTCTCTTAGTTTCTTTTCTTTCACTGTTTTGCTTTCTAATAGTTCCTGCTGTTAAACTAAAGTTATTCTTTTACCTAAATATTTTTGCATCCTATTACGTTGTTTCCCCATCTGGTCTCTCTTAGCTGGAAATTGTTTTATCAACTCCTAGGAATATTAATCTTTATTTATGCTCTACACATACCAACTGTAATGTTTGTGCTGTAATGTGTGATATATTTGAGGCTAACAGAGTCGTGATACTATTTACATTATGGAGAAACTCAGGGATTTTCATTTCTCAGCATAACATATCTTTTATTCTGATTTAATTTGTTTATGGAGGTTCCTTGTCCACCTTTATAATTAAACTTTTATAATTAAAAATTAAATTAGTTTAATTTTTCCTTCATACCTCTACAACCTCAGACATACTCCCCTGTGTGTATCAGTGAGCATCCACTGTTGGTGGCATTGGCCATTGTTAGCCTCTAGATTACCTCCCAGTGCAACAGTGAGTGGAGGAATTCAGTTCATGTACATTTATTCAAACAGTACAATTAATGATGCAGTTTTCATTAATTTGTCATTTTGAGTCACTGCTTGTATAGAATTTTTGTGAGGTGAGTTAGTGTTCCTCCTGCCTCTACAATCACATTTTTATTATTTCTTTGTAGTTGTTTCTTCCTCTGCTCATCCCTTAAATTGAAGTCTTTCCAAGGGTTGTTTTCTAAATCTGCTCTCTCTGCAGCCTCTTTACATGACTTCAAGCAGCCCTAAGACTTTTGATTCCCACTTTTTTCCTGACTATTTTATTTGCATATCTAACTGCCATGCCTTGGCTGTTCATCGACATGTCAAATTCAATAGGTCCCTAACTGAAATCATTATCCATATCCACCTAACTGCCCCAGAAAACCCATTCTTTTCTAGTGTTTCCTCTACCATTCTCTATCACTCAGGCTAGAGACTAAGGAGCACTCACTGATTCTCCTTCTCTTTTCTGTTCTCAGCCAGACTACAAGTCTGAATCTTACCATCTTAATATCACTTGAAACTATGGATTTGTCCTTCCTGTAGTTCTAGGGCACAGTCCCTCAACTAGACTATTGTAACATTTTCCTAAATGGGCTCTCTGTCTTTAGTTTTCCTTTTGCTATATCAACCCCCAACCCCTCATTCACAGGGCTTGGGAAGTCTTCCAGGGTTCCTCAAACCTGTCATTAGGTACACTTTTATTTGCTTTGTAGCCCTTCTTCTTCACCTAAATGACCATCCCTCCGTATGATTACTGCCTGCGTATTTTTTCCTATTTCTCCACTAGATGTTGACCCCTGCGAGATTGTGGTCGTGCTTACCATTCAATCCCCATGCCTAGCACAGCAAATGCTGCACAGAAGGCACTCAATAAATACTTCTTATAGATTGTTGATATTTCTAATATTCAAACTGTAAAAGTAGAAAGAAATTATAAATACATAAACTGCATGATGACAAAGTCTGGAATTAGAAGTCATGGATTAAATTCCTGCCTCTAACATTGCCTTATTGAATACTTTTGAAAAAATACAAAGTTTTCTCACTATAATGTAATCATACAACACCATTGCTGAGTATACAATAAATAATAGCATCTTGAATTTATGACTCCTAAGTAGTTAGAAACATGTCTTATGAAATATTTATTTGTTCAGCATTTTGTTGGGTTAGGCTTTCCTCTTTGCTTCTAGAAGGTAATGAAAGGACATAGAGGTCCTCCTGAAATGATAGTAAAACACTGGTCCAAGGTGATAACCTACTTTAAAGAATGTCGGGAAGATTTGTAAAGTCTGAGTAGGCTCCCAAGAGGAAAATGCATTCTGTAAGGTAGTTTTACACTCTCATACATCCAATTTCTTAGGAATTCAAACTATTTGGGAGTCAAAATTTTACATATTATTTCCAACATTTCAGCTTATTCCTGGACCCTTTCTCCATGTTTTTCTGGAGACACATTTCCTCCCCCCACACCCAGGTGAACCATCTGTGTACCAGGCTAGTTTTCCAAGATGTAAAACCAAGTGAAATATGTCCACTCCATTTACTTAGAAAGGACTATGACTAATGATACTGTGGGAAAAAAATGGCGTAGTTAATGAAAAAGTACACTCTGTGTGAACAGCCAGAGAAGACTAACTGTTATGGCTACGTAAAGCCATGACTTAACAGAAAAGTATTCAGTGCCAGTACTTTTTAAGTTTATCCTCTGAGTACCTCGCATGGGTGAGTTCAGTTTCTACCTGTAATCTATAGGTATCCCCTATGAAATGAGGTTCTCTACCACCAGCAAATGGGAAAATTTTTAAAAATTTGTATAAATCTTGCCTTCTACCCCATAATATGACAATGTTTGATTTACATTAAAAAAAAGTTATTTAATGTTTATCAAACTTGAATCTTAAGGAAGATGTGCCATTTTTACTATTGCCTTCAATAGTAAATAACTTTTAACCACCACCCCAACACTTGCATATACCCTTCAAGCATTGTCTAGGTTTGAAAAATATAGGGTCCTAGAATATTACAGCCCAGGCCATGGGATTTTTGTTAGAATTTAAGAGAATTCTTCCACATGTCTCTTTCTATTCTGTTGCATATAAACTTCTGAAGTCTTTTTTCCCAAGTCACTAATAAAATCTTTATAATGTAACTCTAAGTACCTAATTGCTAGCATTTTCTACAGTTATGATGATTGAGGAATATAAAAATCAGCTTCCTCAAATAGAGATTTTCTGTTTGATGGAAAGGATCCATCCAAGGAGAGAATTACCTTTCCACTTTCCTCTTTAGATTTCATTAACACTGAAAAACAAACTAAGAAATTAAAAACTAATGCTTTTTGTGAGCATTTAGAAAATATGATCAAACAGCAAGCTGGTCATGCTCAGATAGGAGTACGAGAAGTGACATTTATACATTCAAATTTCAAAACATTTGTAAGGCCTACCATGTGTGCTTTTAAAAGGCTTTTAATTTTAAATTATTTTTGTTAGATAATCCTGTTCAAAGTGACATTATGATTTATCACCACTAGTCAAGATTCTGATCCCTCATAGACCTCTTGTTTGTATCTGTTTTTGTTCTTTGTTACATAAATATGAGATTTATATATAAAATTCTGACTGTGTAATATGGGGCTAATGAGTCACAGATGGAAAGATGTTGGCACATTACCATCTAATAACATTTTAAACTCATATTCCATAGTAAAACAAAAGCAAATTGTACACATCTGTTTTCCAACTTGTAGCATTTCTGAATTTGGGTAGCTTCTATGTTTCAAGGACTTTTACTTTGGGAGAAGAAAAAGAGGATACAGGTCACCTCAAAATTACCCAGACACTTAATAGCCATATCAGAAAGGATCTGGCAAAACAGATAAGATTTCCTCTGCTTCGCTTCCTGAGAAGTCCTAGCTCTAAAGAATGAAATTAAAAGGCATTAGGGCTGAAGAGATGTCTTCATACCACAAACATAATTTTATTGGTTCTTTTAAAAAGAAAAGTATATCCTGAATAAGGGGGAACTAAGGGAAAAAATATACCACGATTAATAAAATTAAAAAACTAGAAACTGGGGCGCCTGTGTGGCTCAGTGGGTTAAAGCCTCTGCCTTTGGCTCAGGTCATTATCTCAGAGTTCTGGGATCAAGCCCCACATCGGGCCCTCTACTCCGCAGGGAGCCTGCTTCCTCCTCTCTCTCTGCCTGCCTCTCTGCCTACTTGTGATCTCTGTCTGTCAAATAAATAAATAAAATCTTTAAAAAAAAAAAAACAACTAGAAACTTACTGGCCTTCACTACAAATATCCTCAGAACGGATTTGAGCAGAGGAGGGGAAGGGCAATGAGGAGGGAATGTCTAGGAAGCCTGCACACACCTGAGGCCATGTAAGGTGTGGTTGCTGTTGATTTTATTTGTATGTTAAACATGTTCTGTGGGGGGGCGGGATGGAATAAAAGGCTCCAATATCTCACGTAGCTGGAAAAGAAATAGAACAAAGGCAAAAGTTCTCTCTCAGACCTACCCAATTGATAATGCCTATGTACACGAGTTAGTATAAATTTGTGAATAAGCGTCTCTAAAACATCTCTTCCCGGTTCTCCCTGGTTAAGGAATTCAAAACCACTTTTCTACTTCAAGGGGTTGTGTGAACTGTCAAGTTCTTTTGGAAAAGTTACGTGACAGAAGTGATTACTGCAGAGTGTGACCATAAATCCCTCTGACATGAAATACGCATGTTATGAGAGACAGATTTCCATCCACCACCTCTGCAGGGATTCCTGAAACAGGAAAGACCTGATACTCATCGTATGATTGGAGAGGGAAATTTTGATATGTGGGTGGTAAGACTATCTTTTGTGGGGCAGACTGCATTTATTCTGAGGAATCTTTCTGATCAGATGGCAAAATTCTGTTCACTGTTGTCTAAAAAAGAATTAATACGTGTATGTCCTGAGTTGTAAACAGAATATCAATGGAGGGAAATCACGGTGTTGTTTTCATAACAGTGTCTGCAGTTATCTCCATATTGTGCTAACATTTTGTATGTAAGATTCCAGAAATGTTAAGAGTGTGTACACAGATCCCAGTGTAACTGCCACAATAGCAAGTTACAAGGAGTTCTCAATCTGGCCTTTCCATTAAAGGAACGTTTGGCCTGGGGGCCTCGTGTGTGTGCCTGGTTTCCTTTACAGTGTGTCAAACAAGACAAGACTTAGAGCCAGGACAGGGTGGCATTAGGTATATGCTTGTTTTGTTTGTCCATCAGTGGAATGTCTGTGTGACGTTTTGTGTCGTGTTGTTTTGGTGCTGTCCCACATCCATAGGGTCTGCCAGGCTTCCCCACAGTTGCTGCTCTGCACAGTAATCAGATCCTCACCGTCAAGGTTCGTGGTTGGCACCCATGCTGCTCAGTCAGAGCCCACAATCAGCATAAGAGTGAGCAAGAACAGCTAAATTGGCTTGCCAAGTCCAGTTGCTTCCTTTCACCGTATGCAGGGAGGTTTTGGATCCTTGGGACCTCACCTACGTCCGTGAGGTCAAATACCTATTGAGAAGGAGACTCTTGAACATATAAAAGAGAAGGACATCAAAGTCGAGCAGGGTCGATGAAGAGAGGCAGGCATGACTATCTAAGACTGTGCCACCCCTCAATGGTTTGATTTATGTGCATGACGACACTCCGTGACATTTTTCAGTCAATTAAAGAATCCTCAGTATTCTGGACTTGGGGCATCTATAAAATGGTGGTCGCGTTCATGCCACATTATGCTGGTTGACAAGTCTGACGGAAATTGAACTGGTGCTTTGTCTCCAGACTTTCTGCTCAGTGTGCAGGACACAGGTGACGGGAGCCTTCCTGGTGCTTTCATATACTGCATTCGAGAGGCCTAACACCCGCAGCAAAAGGATGGGACACCCAAAAGATCCCTCTCTAACTACAGATCTGGTCTCACCATCCTATTTTAGGATGATGTTTCTTTCAAGAAGAGCCAGACAGTCTGATGTCAGACACAAGCACCAGTTCCCTTTTGTTTAATGATCATTATAAATCTAATGTGTATGTCTTTATTTCTTTCTTGGGGCCTTCTGATGTCTATTCTCCAATTCTCTCACCTCTGAACTTCAACCTTTGACCTCACCTGACTGATCAGATGGTGTTTCCTAAAATCAATCATGGGTTTCTCTCTGCTGATCAGCAGCTCATTAAACGCCGCCTCATTAAGGTAGTGCTTATTCTTGCTCAAGTCTGATTTCTTCTTAACATTCAGTTATTACTCCATTTACTGTTGCTTTACCATTTATCTCTCGTGGGTGGGGGTATTTATTTGGAAATATCCTAGAGCAAAACTATGTCTAGGGAGCTGCATTTGTTTGAAATGTATATGAAAGTACCAAAGTAAAAAGGCATAGAATGCCTAATTTTTTCTTCATTAGAAAAGAAAGACAACTGAAATTATATCCAGTAACAGATCCAGTTTCTAAGCTCTCTGGCTTTGGTAATTTATAAATCATTACACAGTTTGATAAGAGCTTGTATGTTTAATTTTATAGGTTGTGAAAAAGTAAACACATTTGTCCAACCACAAATGCAGCCATTTTATTAAACAAGGTGAATATAACTGATGCAGCATTTCCACAAATCAGATTATGCAAAAGTTTTATACCAGCTCTGAGTACCATGATAACTTATACCATTTCCAAGAGCTGAGAGGGCTGGTTCCGGAGCTGCCTTGATTTTAATAGCATCTACTCAGCTCGTCCAGCATGAATATTTATTTGCTCCCTGCTGGAAGGCAAATTGCCTACAGGCTTCATGTTCTGATTGTTCTGGTTTTTTTATAGTGTAAACGTGGATTAGATAATACAAATTTAAAGTGTTGAAAAGAAAATCTGGATCTTTATCTTTCATGGTCATTGTTGGTCTGTTCCCTTCTCCTTTATAGGGTGACCAAGGACAGGCTGGGCCTCCAGGACCTCCAGGCCCTCCTGGCCCAAGAGGGCCTCCAGGGGACACAGGGAAAGATGGCCCCCGTGGAATGCCAGGAGTGCCCGTGAGTTGCATTTTGGATCCATTTGTTTTAAGGGCTGAGAACAGGGGTGGATTGGAGTAAGGAGGGGCCATAGGGTTAGAGGTTTGCAGGAAATGAGGTGACAGAAAGTACCCAAGCAGACAGGGCACTGCCAACAGGATTCTGCCTAATGGCTCAACCCAGGGGAACCCATATGAACCACAAAGAGAGACCTGGAGAAGGCAGCTAAACTGGTTTTCAGGTAAGCCTCAAGAAATCTAGGATTGAGTATGCCTGATCTCACTTGGGCCCTGACTACCTTAGAGTACATCAATGCCTTTGACTTAAATGGGAGAAACTCAAGGTGAGAATTGGTAACATTCTCCAAAGGATTGAGGTAGATGATAAAGTCCCATGTGAATTAGGGAAAGCAAAGGAGGTAAATCTTTTTAATGTTTACTCCCTCACAAATAAATTGACCAAAAAGGGAATACAATTGCTAATAAAATAGTAACATTAATGGTTAAAACATCAGTAGGTATGGTTTGAATATCATTTGTCCTTTAAATATGAAGCTTTTGGGGTGCCTGGATGGCTCAGTGGGTTAAGGCCTCTGCCTTCGGCTCAGGTCATGGTGTCAGGGTCCTGGGATCGAGCCCCGCATCAGGCTCTCTTCTCCTCGGGGAGCCTGCTTCTCCCTCTCTGTCTCTGCTTGCCTCTCTGCCTACTTGTGATCTCTCTGTCAAATAAAATAAAATCTTAAAAAAAAAAAAATACATGTGAAGCTTTTAAAAGAAATGATTTTTAAAATAAATTTTTTAAAGATTTTATTTATTTATTACAGAGAGAGAGAGAAGAGTGAGCACAGGCAGGGGGAACGGCAGTCAGAGAGAGAAGCAGGCTCCCTGCTGAGCAAGGAGCCCCATGTGGGGCTCAAGCCCAGGACCCTGAGATCATGACCTGAGCAGAAGGCAGACGTTTAACTGACTGAGCCACCCAGGCATCCCAATAGAAGTGATTTTAAAGCAATCTCAATAGTTAGATCTAAGTACTTAGTTACTAAGATTGATCAAGTGTCAATAATACAGTAGTACAGGACACTAGATAAATGGTTTGATTTGGTAGAGACAGCCCAGCAATTGAAAAAAATATATGGAAAAGGTAAAAAAAAAAAATTAATATTATGGCCTTAGAACTTGAAATTCAAATCTATTGCTGAATTAATCTATTTATTATATTTATTTATCTATTGCTTTGACTTAAATATTTTCGTAATTGTTTTCTTAGTACAAAAGAATGAAAATATTTATCTGCAAAGTGGAAAGATTTTAAAACTAAAGAATCAAAAAGAAAAGAAATCAGCCATAGTCATTTATGTTTTGGAGTATTTCATTTTTATATTCAATATATTTATGTATTTTTTTCAAAGGGTAATTCTCTTTGTTAGAATGGCTTTTCTGAGACAACCTCCTGGAAGTCCCATTTCCTTTCTGAAAGTGGCTGTCAGTTTGTCATATGAAAGGAGGGATTGAATCCCAACCTATGATTGGTTGGCCGTTAGGATGTCTCACTGAACCATCAAAGGTAGTGGTTTTACCTTGAAACTGTCTTTGAAGGTCTGACCTTTTCCTGGGATGATATCCCAAATGATAGAGACAGCATAACTTTAGGGATATTTAAATCTCCCCAAATAATTGCTGGTTGCCAAGAAAGATGCAATGAATATTTCTTCAACTAAAAAGAACGGTTAAAACCATTTTGATGGTATAAAACTAGTCAGATCGTTGGGTCTTGTATACTCTACAGAAAATTCAAAGTATAGATTACTTTCAAGATAGAAGATAAAGGTAAGATATGACAACCTGTAAAGAATTAAAAAATTATGTCATCCTTCAAATAACTATAGTTTATTCATCTGAGTAAGAATGGAGCTTTTTACGAAGAAGTATGAACAGGCTTTTTTTTTTTTTTTTTTAATTCCACCTAGAGAAATTGAACAGGGTTTATAGTCTTGCAGTTAATTTTTATATGCCATCATAACCACTAGAAAAAGGCTTTATAAGAACAAACTGAGAAATACTTATTTTTAAAGTCCCAACAATTTCTATAGCTATTGACATTACAAGAATGGTTCTTCCAAAAGTTATCTGTTGCTAATCACTATCAATATGATAATATAATGTTAAAACATAATAAGGAATTTTGTATGAATCTGCATATTAGAAAACTATGAATGGGGTATGATATAGCAAAACATTTCTGTGTATTTAAACATATGCTATTCATTTTAATAAAACATGTTATTTCAGCCATCATTAATTCAGGAAAATCAAAATTCAAACTCGGTTTGCTCACTTTGTTATTTAATTACTGTACTAAGAGCAGTTGTGTCTCTGTCCTGTGTATGGAAGTTCTGAGATCTCATAAAGAGGGTCAGGTCATCATCTTTATGTCTTCATAAACAGAACATAATAAACGAGATATTACTGGAATTACAATTAAATATTTTTCTAGGACCATTTACTGACTTAATATAATCACCCAGTAGGGGTGATTTTTATTTAGAATACATTCTTGGCATAATTCTTAAATCTCTGCTGTGATCTAGACTCATTTTATTAAATCCTAAAATGTTTATAAAATGCATTTGAAGAAAGAACGTGGCTCTCTTTTTATTGCATTGTATTTGCATTTCTCTTCTTAGCCTGAAAAGTATATTTGACATTCATGCACCCCAGTGGGTATTGTGAAAGAGGAAAAAAAAAAAGATTGAAATTGCTTTTTAATGTTTATAGCATTAATAAAAATTACCACTGTTCTTTTTTAAGGGTGAACCAGGGAAACCAGGAGAGCAAGGCTTGATGGCAAGTATCTCAATTTCTTTTTCTTTGCTAAAAAGAATAGAAGTCTAATTTATTCAAAACTGTGGTCCAGAATATGCATAAGGAAAAAGTAGGAGATTCCAGGCAGGAGAAATGACAAAGAGAGTGAGGAAGGTCAAAGGATGGAATTTTCGTTATTCCTTTCTTCCTTCCTGCTGTAAGGAAGATTATATTCAGGGATATGCATATTAGCTTAAATAAGAATGAGTTTCAAAGGAATGAGTTTCCAAAAGCTTTCAAAAGTCACATTCAGAGGAATATGACTAACTGTGAATTAGTATAGTGAGTCTTCTAGAAGGATTCAAGGAGTTTTTGTTGTTGAAGGGCTCCCCCCAGAAAGAAACAGTCGTGCCTTCTTGAGTTCTGTCATTAAAAAAGATCATGAAATGATTCCACATGGACTGGCCAATAGACATGCATGACCCATTCTTCATGATTTGTTTATTCTTTGCCAATGAAAGAGAAGTTGGGGCAGCTTGCTGGGCCTGGAAGAGTAGAATTCCTTCAACCTACCTCTTCCTGTCTCTTCCTTCCTATCTCCAGAGCCACCTTTCTAACCTATTTTATGACATAGATAATATTGGGGAACTCAGGTGGACCTTCTAATAACCCAGATTCCAGAGGACAGCTGTGTTTCACACTCGTCCTGGATACAGTGGTCACAGTGAACTTGATTGTGTGCCTTATACACAATGTGTGGCTTGCAGCTTACAGGTGTTTAGGGTCTAACATTTATTTTAAAAAACTAGTTAGCTAGGTCCTAATGCAACTAACACATGAGAATACGGCAGTTGGTCAGGAATTAAAACAAATGTGTGAATGGGTTAAAGGTTAAAGGCTTCTCCCTGAACAGGATGCCTTCAACAGCCCTCCTGGGAAGAAACTCACCAGGCTGTAGTCCTAACCATTGTGGGGTTGGCTTTGAAACATCACCAGTTAAAGGAAAGTACCCTAAAATGGAGTCTGAGCCCCCCCACCCCCACTGCAAATTCTTTGTTCCCGACCTATGGTATCAAGATAGAGAATTGATTCAGATGACTTGAAAGTGGAGGTACTATAATGGATTCTTTTTTAGAAAAATAAAATGGAAGAAAAAGAACAAAAAAAGATAATATGTGAAAATTAAACCAAACCTATGTCATCAGTGGTAACTTTGGGTACAAGCACAGCATTAGTTTTCAGGGTTAGCGGGTCACAGGGGGTGAAGGATTCTTAGAAAACTACAATATAAATTTTGAAACTGCCTTAAGCAGCTGAATGCAACTGTAATTTCTATCCTGGCTGATGGTCAAAACATATTTCTTCCAAACATTCTTACGTGGAAGACCATGTGGGATTCTTGGGAGCCTATGTTTTTTTCTCCTCAGATTTTTATCGTTGTCATTGGCTTTCTACCTTGATGCTCAATGCAGTATCCTAATATACAAAATTCTAAAATAAAGCAGATTTCTTAAAAAAATTAAAATCTTATCCTCCTTAAATTCATACATATACTTTAGAATATACTATGGGAATCACAGTTTAATGTCATTTCTCTACAATTCCTAACTTCCTAGGACTTAGTTCTACTTGTCCTAAGTGAATTATGTTATTATCTTAGTTTGCTTTGATTTCCCATTTCATACAGCACCTTTTCAGGCGACAATCTCAGATGTTTGTTTCTGTTTTTTAATAAACTTTTACTTCTCTTTAAACTCTTCTAATTCAGTTCATATTCTCATTTTTAGAATGTAGCTAAGAAACTTAATTGAAATCACAAATGTTCAAAGGATATTGTAATGTAATGATCTCCTAAAGTGCTGTTTTTTAAGATATAAAACTCTTTTTTTAGAAGAAAACTTCCATAATATATATAAAGAAAAGTAAACAAATCACAAGTATACACCCCAGTGACTTTTCACAGTGAGCCTAACCATGTAACCACAAACCAGAGCAAGATGTTCAATATTAGTATATCCCAGAAACCTCCCTCTGCCCTCCAGTCACCATCCACTTCTTCCCAAAGTTCACCACCATTCTGACTTCTGCCACCATCGATTAATTCTGCCGTCATTTGAATTTTATATTAATAGAATCATACAGTATGTGCACTTTTATGTCTGGCTTCTTTTGTTCAACGTTCTATTTGTGAGATCATCCACCTCTGTTTTAATAGCCTTCACAGCTGCTTAAAAAAAAAAATTAGGAGGAAGAACCTTACTTCCTCGACTAACCCCTTAAATCTACATCACTCAAATAGCAGTAAATGAATGAATAGTCTGTCTGACCTTGGGCAAGTCACTTAACCTCTCAATTTCTCATCTGTAAAGAAAGGATAATAATACCCTCTCTGCCTCCCTTAGAAGGTTGCCAAAGACAAATGCAATAAATTAGGGGAAAGCACTTTAAAATATATAACGAAGAACTATATGAGTGTGTTATTATTATCACTCAGTTGTTTCCCCTAGAGTAAATTACAGGTGAACACGGATTTATATAACAGATGTATTCCTGTAAAGTTCTGTATGAATCAGATTTTCATAAATCAACATATCTTAAAAGTTCTGGGGAATTTTGCTATTTAAAGCAATCCCATTCAGAGTCTTTTTGTAAAGCAATATAATCCCCTAATTCCTCTTCCCAACAAACTGAATTTTTATATCGCATATTTGCTTAAAGTGAAATATTTCTATGGTTTAAAAAACTATTATTCTAAAAAAACCACTAGTCATATTTGTTAACTCAAATAGCACCTATATATTTTAAACCATCTCAAAGAAAAAAAGAGGATCCTGGAAAAATAATAGCAGTTGTCATGGGAGAAAAATTTCATTGGAAATTTTTTTTCTTTTAAATATTATGTATGTTGGGGGGGGCGGTGTGTGTGTGTGTGTGCGCGCGCGTGCGCGTGCACACACATGCCCATGTTTGTTTTGACTTGAAGTCTGGCAGGGAGAAAATTACATTGCATCAGTAGTTCTGGCCTCACAACTATTTAAGAGTGTTTGACTATAGTCTGTGATTTTTTTTTAACTGATCTATGATGTATAGGCAGTAATTCCTAATTCATCTATCTCACTGGGTTATTGTGTGAAACAAGTGAAATAGTAATAATATGAAAATACTTTATGAACTATAGAGAGTTCCATAAATAAGAAGTATGGCTGTTAAGATGAATCCCTGTGGAAATAACACACAGAAAGGCCACTGTGAAACAGAAGGGCTAAGTACAGTGTGATTATAGCTATCAGTGAAATTGCAGTGTATTAAATACTATGATCGAAAGCACAACTTATTCCTTTGGTCCTATTTGCTGTTGTCATTTTTTTTTTTTTTTTGGCCTTTTCCTATCATCTTATCTTATCAATTTTTCATAACTATCTTCTCGTCCACCAGTTGAACAAGGAAAGATAATAAAAAACATGGCTCTCTTTTCCACGGTATGCAAAACTCACTACGTTTATTGCTTTGTATCATGGAGGAGTGTTTGTTTATAAAAGGGTCCTGAGAGGCACTGGAGAATTTTGTAAAATGTAAAATGTCTCTGATGATGACATGAAAAAACCTGAGAACATTCTAAAATTAGCTCTTACAAAACTGTTTATGAGTGTGTCAGGTGGGGAATTAGTTTTCATAATCCAGGATATATATTTTATATTGCAAAAATAATCATCTGAAGATTAACAGCATCTCTGATAGAATAAAAAAGAAGGCCTGCGGCTCAAGCAGTTCCACATTTATTTAATCCTGCTGTGCATCTATTCTGTAAACATGACCTTTGGGTTTGCAGAGACGTTCAGGATGAGATTGTAAAAGACGGAATCATGAGCTAAAATAAATTGGACTCCATTTAAATAAGAAGAGAGTGGCTCTGAGTCATAAAACTAGACCCAAGAATCAAAGTTAGGACTGACCACAATTGGAAGTGCTGAAGTTCTGAACCCTGGTGCAAGTGATCTTTATTTTTCAAGATCTTCAGAGGTTTAAATAGTTGTTCAAATAGCATTTTTGGAGTTAGCTTTTCTTTTGATATTCTTATTATTTCTTTCTTTGGCAAATATAGGAGTTCTCAAAAGCATGAAAGATAGATGTTTTATAAATCTCTATTAATATGTCGACTCATCCCAATTTCCTGGAAATTATTTTGTGGCCCAGAGTGTCTACATCCAATGCTTTATAGACCAAATCACTTTCTCTACTCTGAAACCCTATCTTCATCCTTCATTCTCTTCCCAAATATATGTAAACTCCATAGCATATCCACTCATTTCTTTCTGAATTATAAAAGTATTTCAAATTTATTTGTTGGGCCCGGTAGTGTCAGAGATTTTTTTTTTTTTTAAATTCAGAAGTACTTTTGCTGTTATTGTTCCTTACAGTAAAATTTGGACTTATGTCTGAACAGGTTATAGATGTGTTCAGTTTATTTTAATTTTGCCCGCAAATACATTTAATACATTAGGGTCAAGGAAAGTAATGCATCTTATGTTAGCTGATAAAGTAAACATAAGTAATTGCTTCTGCTTCATTTAAAATAAAATTGAAATAACCAATATGTGAAGGTTGACTTTAAATATATTTAGTTACAATGCTTTGCTCTCCCACCTCCAAAATTCATTTTACTTAACTGTACTTTGGTCTGTCAACTGTCTTGATCAGCAGGATGGCAGACATGGGAGACAACAGCAGTCTTCTCTTTTTGATTTTAATCTGGCGAAGAAAGCAAAAGCCCAAATCACAATAACAAAAATGATCAACATCATCCTAGGATATTTGGCGATTAGACTTGATTTTTACAATGGAATCTTATTGAGTAACACTGCTTTGCTTCATTTGTGCACATTGCCTGCTGGGATGCCTTAGCAACCTCTCTAATGCTTTATTATCCTCACTTAATCTGATTGTCCATGAAGTCCAAGTAAAGGCCACAAAAACAGAGTCCTTCCCATCTCCTTGGTGCTTTTTGTCCAGGGACTGTAATGTTCAGTTTTCCAAACGGACCA